TCTGCCTATCCGGCCAAGTTCTTTTACATGCTTTAATAGCCAGGACAATGCCTGGTTATCTGTATGAAGGGTGAACTCCTTGTGTTCCAGATACACGCGAAACCTTTCGCATCCCCAGACCACTGCAAGACATTCCTTTTTGTGAACGGAGTATTTGCGTTCTGCACCGGTGAGCAGCCGGCTAGCAAAGGCTATAGGAGCTAGCCCCTCCTCGCGCCGAACGGTTGAGATGGCCACCTCGCTAGCATTGCATACTAGCACAAACTCCTTCGTGAAATCAGGAACTTGCAGTATGGGGGGCGTGGAGATGGATGACTTAAGTCGTTCAAACGCCTGCCTCTGAGGCCCATCCCACACAAATGCCGCGTTCTTCCGCTTTAACGCGTGAAGCGGCTCTGCCAACTGCGAAAAGTCTTTAACAAAATTCGCGTAAAAACCCACCATCCCGAGAAAACGGCGCACCGCCTTCAAATTCTTCGGAGGGGGGAACTGGGAGATCGCCTCAACCCTCTCAGGCAAAATTTTAATCCCTTCAGAAGATAACGAGTGGCCCAAAAACTTTATCTCGGACTGAGCCAACTCTACCTTATCCCTGTTTAAGGTAAACCCCGCCTTCTCGAGACGACGAAATACTTCCCGCAAATGATCTAAGTGTTCTTCCAAGGAGCGGGAGTATACTACCAGATCGTCCATGAAATTATACACATAAGCGTGTTTCAAGTCGCCGAATAAGGAATCAACAACGCGCGAGAGCACTTGGCACCCCACGCTGATTCCCATCGGTAACTTTGTAAACTCAAAGAGACCGAAGGGTGTACAAAAAGCAGTGAGCATCCGGCTCTTAGCGGACAGTGGGATCTGGTAGTATGCGGAGTTGAGATCCAACACCGAAAAAACCTTCGCCCCTTGGAAGTTAGCAAAAGCATGCTCCACACTGGGCATTGGGAAAGCATCGAAAACTACTTTCTTACTGAGAAGCCGGTAATCGATGACCATTCTGTACCCGCCCTGAGGTTTCGGAACTAAAAATGCGGGGCTCGCATACTGCGAGAAACTCTTCTTGACCACCCCCTTGTCCAGCAAATCGAATACGATTTCACGCAGCGCCTGCAGACGAGGGGGGGAACACTGATAGGGACGGGAACGAACCGGAATGTCGTCTGTCAGATCTATCTGACAGACCATTCCCTTCACCGTCCCTAATTGATCAGAGAACAAGTTAGAGAAACTCTGTACAAGCTGGTCAAGCTTTCGAGACCCCGACACACTCAGGAGGGAGATATGGGCACCCAGTTTCATCAAGGCCCTTTCCGGACAAGGGAAACTGTGATAATACTCTTCCAGGAAGCATAGAGGTTCGAAATCGTACCGGCAAGATTGCTGAAAGGCAAATGCGTATGACAATGTCGCAAAATCTAGTCGCATCTTGGCAAAAGCTAAGAAATCTGCTCCCAGTATGCACGGCACCGGAGAATCCTCCAAAATTAGGAATTCGTATTTCCAAGAGAATGAATGGAGTTTTATTTGCAGCGAGACTGCCTGAGTGATCGCACAGCTCTGGCCACCAGCCATGCGAAGATTACGATCCGTCGCGTGTACACGACACGACAAGCCGAGGCTATGCATACGGTCTACAACGTCTCGTCTGACAAATGAAAAAGAGGACCCCGAATCCAGAATGGCGGGCAAACAATAATCCCTTACCGTCAAAATAACCCAAGGATTACACTTTACTGGCTTCACTGGGGAAACTCGGTTCCGAGGTTTTTCACTCACAGGCACTCGGACCTCAGACAACCTTCTCTCTACCGAGTGCCTCTGTCGTTTCCCCCAATTGCCTCTCCGACCGAAACGTCGGAAGATGGGCAGTCCCTTTTGAGATGACCTCTACCAGAACACTTCCAACATTTCGCGGAGTTAAGCCCAAATCGACGGGTCTGGCCAACCGCCATACTGACTGGCCGAGACCCACGACTTCTTTGCTGAACCATATCAGTAGACCCGCTACGTTCTGCCCGGATCCTCCGCTCTTCAACCGCCCAGCCTTCAGCCACTTGGCCCGCAAGCGCATACAATTCCTTAATGGAAGTCGGCTTGTCCAAAAAAAACTAACTGAGAGCACACATTAGGATGAATATTTTGTACTAGCCAGTCGACTAACGCCGACTTCGGCACATCATAATCAAGAATATTTGCCGTGGCAACTACCAACATAATATATTTCGACAAATCCTCCGCCACAAAATGAAACCGCTCCAGGACATATTTGGTTAGAAGGCCTTCATGGATACGAGGGGGAAGGAAGGTCGACCGGAGTTCAGAACGAACCACACCCCAATTTGCAGACACACTTAAATGGCCACTAATTATCTGTGTGAACCTCCCAGTTGTCCTAGCAACCAACAGAGCCAAAAATTCCTCATCCGTAACAAGACCCAAGTCATAGACTTCGCTTGCCTGGATAAGGAATTTAAGCACCGCCTCCGGTTCCACATCGGACAAAACTGGGATATCCTTCACCAGATCGGTGACCACTTTAGCCCTCAATTTAATCTGAGAATAAGTAACATGGCCCTGCACACTACTAATTCTACTATCACTACTCTCTCCTGTGTGCATGGCCACATCAGACTTATCTGCCCTTTGAGGAGGTAGGTAGGTCTCCAGAA